TCAATATGTAGTTGATATGGCAATATAATCAGTGTACATGTCAATATGTAGTTGATATGGGATTATGAAAATCATGCATGTTAAAAACAAATATGCCATTATAAGTCAGTATAGATGTCACATGTCATTATAAGTTAGTATAGATGTCACATGTCATTATAAGTCAGTATAGATGTCACATGTCATTATAAGTCAGTATAGATGTCACATGTCATAAGTCAGTATAGATGTCACATGTCATTATAAGTCAGTATAGATGTCAAATGTCATTATAAGTCAGTATAGATGCCACATGTCATTATAAGTCAGTATAGATGTCACATGTCATTATACAAATCGTATAAGCCAATGGGTAGAATTATAGTAAGTGTATAAATTTAGTGTGTAGACAAGCAATCAGTCTTTATTTAGAGAGAATAGCACTGTTAGTTAAAGCTAATCTTCCTAATGACCATCACATTAATAAAAAGATACATTTACAAAACTAATTGTAATACAGCAATGCAAACATAAACATTTCACAATGCTGATTCTTTATAAATACAAAATGTACATGGTCCAGAGGTATTATAGTTCCAATCTACAAAAAGAACAACACTCGTGACCCAAACAATTACAGAGCAATCATCCTCCTAAGTGTATTTAGCAAAATATTCACTGGTATTCTAAATCAACGTCTAAAAGCTTGGGCAGATGAATATAACAAAATTCCCGAGGTACAGGCGGGTTTCAGGAATGGGTACAGCACTATTGGTCACGTGTTCACTCTATCAGTAATTATTCAAAGGTACTTATCACGAAGAGGTTGGAGGTTGTATTGCTTATATGTCGACTTTCAAAAAGCCTTTGACTCCGTTGAAAGAAATTGCCTTATGTACATTGTTTTTATGACAAATACTGTTATGAATTTAAAACGTATTATCAATGTTCTGCATGAATTTACCATTAAGTGGAAAATGGCCGTGAACCTGTCGAAGACAAAAATAATGGTTCACCGAAATGGTGGGCATTTAAGCAAAAATGAAATGTGGTATTTTGGAAACCAACTTATTCAGACCGTGGGTTCATATGAATATTTGGGAAATAGAAAGAAAATAATTATCTGCGTCCGAAAATGTTTCAAACATGTCGAAGCTCTGCCAGTAGATATTTATTTCAAATTATTTGATGTTATGATCTTTCCGTTAATTACATTTGGCAGCGAAATTTGGGGTTTCAAGACATATGATCACCTAAAAAGTATCCACACAAAATATTGTAAAAGATATTTAGGATTAGCAAGAACCACATCTTCAAGTATGGTTTTGGGAGACTGCGGACGACTTCCATTATTTTGCTATTACTCAACACGCTGCATTAAATACTGGGTTAGGGTTACCAAATTAGGGGACGAGCGTCTGCCAAATAAAGCTTATAAAATGCTTTTAAATATGCACAATCAAGGCAAACGCACATGGGCTACTGAAATAATGCTTCTATTAGACAATTTAGGTTTTGGCACAGTCTGGGAAAATCAAGGCGTTGAAAACAGTGAAAATTTTCTACTTGAGTTCAAAAGCCGTGCGCAAAATGAAGGTGAAAGAATTTGGTACTCGGATATATGTACGGCGGAGAAAACTGATAATTTAAATTTAACTTTGGCAGAGAAATCTGAACACCCCCTAGCTATAGAAGTCGGTAGACACAGAGGAATCGCCAGAGAGTATAGAATTTGCGATCTATGTTTGTCTGAAATTGAAGACGAGTTCCATTTTCTTCTAAAATGCCCAAAACTCAACACACCTTGCAGTATTTTCACAAGATAATGGCATCAGATAACCCGACTGTTATTGAAAGTGTTGCTTTCTTTTGTTTTCATGTATTTAAAATTAAAGAGAAATTGTATTTAAGTCTTTTATATTTTATTTTCAAACCTATGACAGAAATGTAATGATTTATTATTATTTGCATACATGGACCAGAGTAATAAAGTTATTATTATTACTAGTAAATTAGTTTTTTTGAGACCGGTGGACCCTGTTTCTCTCTGTCTCTCGAGACCAGGAAGTGAAAAACTCATTATATATGAAGAAGCCAGGTTGGTTACTAATATTTTATAAAGCAGGACACCTTTGTTAAATCTTGACTGATATTTAAACTATTTTATTTACCTAAAAGATTCACACTGGAAGCATCTGGAGGATTTAAATTTGCACCAACTTTGAAGCTCATTTCTTTTATACAGCGCCCTCACACATTTGAGCAATAATCTGTATGCGGCAAGACTAGAGTCAGATCTTTCTGAGGATGGGTAATTTATATTTTATTTAATTATATTTTTTACTCATTTGTTCAACATGTTTGTTTCATAATATGTGACAGCATCATCTACTTAGACACAAACCAATGCATATGTCTCCTTAAAGCTGGTATTTTCATATCCAACGTGTCTTCGTTTCGTGCATAACCTTGTTTTTTTCATCAGTTATAATCATGTTGTTGTCATTACACCATATAACGACTGTTTTCAGGTAGTCATTTAGCTTAATGTTTACTAGTGTATTGAATTGTTCGTACAAAAATTAAATTTTTCTCTTCGGCGTGAATATGAATATCATATTTAGATGGAACCATGGATTTATAGTAGTAGTATTGTCTATTAAAGTGACAATAAGAAAATATTCAATAAATACATAGCTTAAATAATATGAACATCAAAGAACCTAATATAGATTCTTGTGTACTCAACATTTTAGTTTAAATGAATCATAAGGTTATTAATACAAACTTGTTGGTATCTGTCTTGAAGCTGAAAGACGGGCGTATTAAATGCCACTATGCTACTACTATATGCAAATAGAAACCACATGTGGTAGTATAGATATGAAGATAAACAATTTATATGAACAAATCTCACAGATAAGCATCTGAAGATATTCTTGGATATAGCCTACTAGAATGTTGCCACGTTGTCTTGCTTTCATTCAAAAACTACCAAGTGAATTTAAGCTATATAATATGTTTAATTTGTAAAACTGTTATAGGGTCGTCCCATACTCACACATTTCTGAATATCTATGCCGATAGGCTGAGTGTGGTGTAAGATGGTAAGGTTACGTGTGTTCTCAGTTTGCTTTGTATCTTGAACAGATTTCTTTGTGTTACAAGCTGAGTGCGGTGTAAGATGGTAAGGTTACGTGTGTTCTCAGTTTGCTTTGTATCTTGAACAGATTTCTTTGTGTCACAGGCTGAGTGTGGTGTAAGATGGTGAGGTTACGTGTGTTCTCAGTTTGCTTTGTATCTTGAACAGATTTCTTTGTGTCACAGGCTGAGTGTGGTGTAAGATGGTAAGGTTACGTGTGTTCTCGGTTTGCTTTGTATCTTGAGGTTTGCCTTGAATTTCAATTTTATTTAGCTACAGTCGATTATTGCAATGCGTCGTCAGGGTATAGTAATCTGCCTTTCATTTCGTACGTGGCACGTGTGAAGCTATTGGGCTGATATATTTCAAAACCTGTTAGATATCTGTTTATCTCACGTGTGTTAATTGTTATATACGTTCAACATTTGTGTAAGTGTCCCTGACCACGTGATACGAGTGATTTTATCAATGCCACTGACAATTTTTCCTAATAATCGTTAAAACATTACCACGATAGTGTATTCATTTAACGAAGGTAGACTTAAATATTTTTATAATACGACAAAACACGAGGACAAGTAAACATTAAGTGAATGATACAATTGGAGGTACTTCACAACGATATTTGGTGAAACAGTGTTTTTATGACATGACGTGAAAGTGTAACAAGTGCAATCCTAGTATGGAATAACAAAATTAAACAGATCAAATTGCGCATGTGCGATATGTAAATTTACGTTGACCTATATTATATCTGAATTGTTATAGGAATAACATTCGTTTTTTAAACTGAGAAAATAAAGTTCATATTGTGCACATCTGAACAATTCATTCAATAACCGGTACCAACCCCTAAATCTCTTCGAAGCCATGGTGAAACAAAGAATTAATAATCGCAGTTTATACGAGTGTTGCAAATTGTGATTCGATGGCTCTGTATTCCATTAAAATACCAACTTCCACGTAACGCATATATGGAATGTTATTTTCAGCTCGTCGATCCTAATTTAGAGTTTGGCCTAGATCAATCCCATGTGATGAATGGCGGAAAATACGAGTAATCGAATGGTTGTCGTTATAACATCCGTACACAATGTTTGTTCATATAAGTACTGAATGCTATTGACATACAAGATGATAGTACCCATATAATTCACCAAATACACGTAGTGTGTAATCATAAACTACTGTAAAATAGTTTATTTTAGCTGGAATTAATTTTCGCTGAAAAGAAATTTGGGGTGTTTTCTGTGGAATTTATTTTTACTTGTCTTCGGTGAATTGAATGTAAAATATAGAGGAAAAGGTATATTCGCTAGATTTTATTTTCACTGAACCATCGCTCAACGAAAATAGCGAAGTAAATTCCAAGCGAAAATAAAGTATTCTACAGTATACGGGCTTTTATTAAACAGTTGGGATAGAGATTAAAGGGCGGTGGTTGTCGCGCAGCGCGTGTTCGAATTTCATGTAAACAAACAATGTATTTTACACGCGTTTTCGAGCACGACGACCACCGCCCTTTAAACGTGCCGTCCGTTTTTTAGCGACATCAAAGACAACTGAAATTTGTTTCTAGTTCTATAAAAACATTGTAAAATAAAAAAAACTCGCGAGCTCAGAAAAGTAAACAAAGTGGAAGATGCGATTGATGATTGAAAACATTGTGATACTTTTGGGGTGACTAGATTCTGAATTCACTGTGGAAGAATGTTAAGAGTAGATAGATAGTAAATGGAACTTCGGGGAATCAACGATGGACTTTATAAGACTAATATTGATTTGTTCCGGTGCTTGTCAAACTCGGAAATATAGGCGTTCAGAGAAAGTGCCCCAGTAGAAGTGACACTTGTCAAAAATGATACATTACAGAGAGATGTTTCCGACTTGTAAATCTCTAATTTATTCATTAAAATGTCTGGGTGCAAATAACGGATATAATTAAAAGTACAACTTTGAAATACAAATTAATGAGACTAAGATTCAATCAGTTCAATGATAATAGCTAGGCATTTCAGATGGTATGATGTTGGGTTAGTAATAATACTTCTCATTGAACAAATGCATTGATGAAGATGAAAATCAAAATAAAAAGAGCGTAAATTATTAATACATGTAATCTTGTAATCCACAGGCAGCTATTTATTTACATTTTATTTGTGACTATATACAGTATAAAGTTTCATTTATTTTTTGTATAATCTGTAGACAACTTCGCACTGACCCTGGCAAGTATCACAGGCATCCACATTTCATGATTTGTTGCCATACCAACTGATTTTATCATTTTTCATGGTGATCAGAATCATCAGGAAGACGTGTTCTGCAAATAATGTGTCTCGCATGTGTAATTTAATATAGTGGTGTCAATTCATTGAAATCATGAATAATTAAAAGTGAAGTTGAAACGTCATATTTACACAATTACATATATACAAATATACTTGATTATCTGTACAATCGAATAAATATAACCGAATTTCATAAAGATACGGTTACGTGATCTATCCCCCTTCAACAAACGCAATAATTAAAATAAATATTGATTTAGTGGCTGGCGTACGTGGTTAAAAACTGATATTGTTAACATTCAAGAATAAAATAAGTCATTTACATAACTTAAAAAGAAAACGTGCAGAGATTTTATTAATTTTTACTGCTGCAGGAATTGATATATATAATCCAGGTATTCAGTGACTCTGCTATAGACGCCCGGTGAATTGGGTCTGGCACATCCGAAGCCGTGACTGACCACACCAGCTAGGTACCAATCACCGGCTTCCTTCTGGCAAACAAATGGACCGCCACTATCGCCCTGAAATGAATGATGTGTTGTGAATGAACGAAATGGTCTAAAAATTGTTAATTATGTCAGCCGTGTTTGAATCTTGTTTGTTAGTTTCGAGTATTTCCACCTGGTAGTTTAGTATTAAAGGGCGGTGGTCGTCGCACCAAGAATTTGCGAGATACTGACTCGTATGAACAAAGATGGCGACTTTGACTGTTGCGCAGACCAACGAGAACAAACTGAGACTTTGCTAAATAATAACTATGTAATTTCCTTGGTGATTGGAAGGTATAGAAGGAGTCACCAGCGGACTGTGGGGAAATCAATGTTCATAAACACAAGTGTCGCACATGCGCGGCGCGATGATCACCACCCTTTAATATCAGATAATAATGGTACAGAAACGCTTCCCATAGCTGAATCGGAGTGATCGGAGAGTTATGCTTTATTATTTGTGTTTGGCGATATGATTGTGATTTGAAGTGAAATAAATATGTAAAGTGAATTTAATTCTGATTACGTAATACATGTATATGCGCATTTTTTCTACTTTATTTTGGGTTGGACTTATAATTATTTATTTCGTCGTTAGATTTGACATTGAACTAACCATTCACAACGAAGACTTATAGTTTTACACCCTGGTTTTACAATTGCTTTATCACATGCAAATCAGCTCAGCGAAGAACGATTTCTCTGTCATCCAAGTAGTGGATCATTAGCTAATCCTTACCTGGCAAGCGTCAGTTCCGCCTTCGTCATATCCGGCGCATAGCATTCTGGGACCTATGTCTGTAGCTAACAGCTCGTCACATTTTACGTTCGGTACTACCGGTAATAACGCTTGTTTTAAAACGTCAGAAGTAAAACCTGCGAACATATGAAAAGTCAGAAAATTTAAACGCCTAAAAAGATACACAATTGATATAAGTGGGGATCAAAATAGAAATAGAAACTTTGAATTGTCAAGTACTATATCACAGTCCCTCTATCTATAGAGGGACTGTGACTATATATTCCACCACAGTCCTGTGATTGCACACAAAACCTTTCGTCACAGAAATACTAACTAACCATGTTCACTGGTAGCTCCCCATCCCGTCACGTAACAAGTGCTTTCATTGGTCGGTCGCATATCGTATGTTGGGAGACATATTGGCATGATGTAATCATTATATTCAATGGGATGTACCAGTTCCACCATGGCGATGTCGTAATCATCGTAGAGGGGGTGGTAATCAGGGTGCACATAGATAGCCTTTACACGTCTCTCTATTCGGTACCGAGAAAGAGTCACGTCTTGTATCCCAAACGCCGCCTGCCACGGTCCGGGCGACGTGTCCATGTCACTGAAAATAGAAATAACCACGATCATGATCAATTTTTGTGGATATTTAGTTAGAACATAGAAGATATTAGTCTTACTACCTTCCATGGTTAAAACAAGTGTAATAAAAGGGATAGATATAACACTGCACGTAATCTAACTCTTTGTTCTGCGGGAATTAACTGACTGATTGTCCCAGTGCAGGGCGCTAGATATTGCCCGCCATCCACTTACAATGTCAACGCTCGAGTCAATTTTTGAGGCCGTGATTGTTTCATGGCCATTACTATTATAGTAATACTACTTCGATAGCGAACAGCTTTTGTTCAGCATTTACTAGGAAAGTACTCTTTCCCGGTTCCAAACAGCATCCGTTTTTTGTTCTAAGCTATGCCCGTTTACTGGGAAAGTACTTGTTCTTTGTTCCAAACGGTTCCAGTTTACTATTTTTTGTTGTTCTCACAATACCCATTTAGTAGGAGGAAGCTGTTTTCAGAAACAGGTTTTTCTCACATGACTCAAGCGAAGAGAACAACGTTCCCATCACTTTTTTAAATGGTACATTTTTTAAGCAGCAACATTCGATCAATTGGAATGTTCCATTGTATGGCTTGTTATATGCCTTTATTGTCCTAGAACTTATATAGATCACGTGACATCGAATACTACCCACTAATCACGTTTTACTGCCCTAAGAAAAAAATGCAAAGAGGGTTCGAACTAGGGGGTCATACGAGGGTTCGAACTAGGGGGTCATACGAGGGTTGTGACAGACACGCTCGCTTTCCGTTGAGCTATACAAATCACACTGCTGGTTATTGGCTTTGGACTAGATAATTGTTAGAGTTATATCATGATTATTCATTAGTTGATGATTATGCAGATATTGTGTCTGGACACCTGCCGAATGTCAGTATATTTTATGCGAACAAAAGTGCATGTGAACTCGCACACCTGATTGCGTTTAAACGTCCCCGGGCTTTTATGGCGTATTCTATTTGAAAATAGGGGCCCCTTATTACGAATTTCGTGCAAAATTGTTAATAGAACTCACCAAATACTTTCAAAAAGTATAATTGTAAATCCCCCAAATATATATCTATAGATAGTTTAGAGAAATGGCTTATAAGTCAAATAAAACACTCTTCTGGATATAAAATCCTCCCCGCGATAAAATGTCTCTGCTATCTCGGTTACTCGAACACGGGCTTTATCCTATATAATCTAATTACTATAGGTACATAGTGGATACAGAAAGTCGCGTATTTGCCTTGCTCACTGTGACAATTGATTGATTGTTTTGTGGATAGATGCATGACATCAAATTATTTATTGCATAATAAAGCTTTGTTATGATAGAGATTATTACCGAATGTGATATCCGAATCGCTCAAATTACGCGTGTGAAAATGGCTAATTACGATTCATTCGTACTACTTTTCACAGGGCCATTCTGTTCTTGACATTTATTATAGCGTAATTTTACGATCAATCAAGTACGTGCGACATGACGTCACAATTACAGACACGTGTTACCGTCCCCAGTGGTCATGATGATTCTGTTATATCTGCATCCCATGGTACGTAACGTTCATATAATTCACTCAATCATTGTCAGATCAGTGTCTACAATGTTTGGTTTAGAGGCTCCTTTACATGCTAAATTGTAGTCTATACAATACTACCACAAAGGAATCTTACCAAGTTTTTGAAACCAAGGAAAGAAGATTCAGACAATTTATCTGCATATTGAAAACAAGCGACAAACCACGTAACCGTACGTTGAAGGCGCGTATACCTTGATATTTTGCACAATTCACGGCACGAGTGTCAGCCAGTATGCATGGTGTATTGGATTGAGCCAAATCAATAATTGGTTTATACCAACTTCTTTGTAAATCTGATCATGAGACATGCGAATAACTTTAAAGCACCAACAATATGCTTAAATAACGTGACACAGCACCCGAAACGTTCTACTTAGATGATAAAATAAACTGAACCCTGGAACTAGCATGCAGCGATTATAAATACATTGAGCAGTGAACAAATTCGAACCATATTTTGGCTTTGCAAGAAATATTCGAATAGTTTTTTTGTTAGCGGCAACGTTGATGTATGTAAAGTAATTTCAATCGCCATAGTTAAAAAAATCAAACTCCAACTAATGTAGTATGCCCGATTGCGTTCACGAGCGAGCCAATGTAGGCGGTATTTTTTGTGTCCTTTGAGTAATTTTGCTCTGCATGCATCTCGCATCTCTTTTGAACCCCAAATATCCAAACGTCGCAATGTACACGTGTGTTAAATTACTGGTACGTACTATTAATTCAAAGTACACATGTGTTAAATTACTGGTACGTACTATTAATTCAAAGTACACATGTGTTGATTTACTGGTACGTACTATTAATTCAAAGTACACATGTGTTGAATTACTGGTACGTACTATTAATTCAAAGTACACATGTGTTGAATTACTGGTACGTACTATTAATTCAAAGTACACATGTGTTGATTTACTGGTACGTACTATTAACTCAAAGTACACATGTGTTGAATTACTGATATGTATCCCTAACTTAAGGCGCACAATTGTGATATCATTACGTGTGGTTTAAACTTCTAGTATTACAATGTTCATATGCAATCTTAAATAAATCACAAGTCGGCGCAAACACTTACTAAGTCGGTAATTTAAAGCAGTGTGCAGCGGTGACTATCCAGTTATTTGTCAATACAGATGCGCCACAGATATGACCACCATCAGACTTGGACAAAGAAACCTGCCATGGCCATACACCACGTGTTGCTTCAGTGCCACCAACTATTCGACTACTGCTTGGCTCTTCCACTAAAGGTCGCCCACATTCTGTTGATGACATACAACAACAATTATTATCAAAGTTGGGGAGGGTGCCCATAGAAGTCTTCCTTATACTGTGTGTGATGAAACAACATATGAATTACACACGCTAGAGATCCCAACACATAATGATAAAATTTTACACGACTTGGAGGCGATACTTCGGTTCAATAAATCGGTTTGCCAAGAAATTATAATTAGAAGTCAACAAATATGTATGTCAATGTTGTGCAATAATTAAAATAAAAGACTTATTTCGTTGTTAATTAGCGTGTCTATTATTATATGTATAACTATGTATATGTGTGGTTTGTACAGTTATTAAAACTATCTTAATATTACTACAATCACAAGTTTGTGAAAAAATTAATTTCATTGTAATTCTAAACGAGCCCTAAGATATAATCCAATTGCACTGCATTGTCGATTACGATAACATTCCAATGACATGAGTTACTTGTATTACACGTTATTCTACTGTTTACGGTAGCACTCCAATGACATGAGTTACTTGTATTACACGTTATTCTACTGTTTACGGTAGCACTCCAATGACATGAGTTACTTGTATTACACGTTATTCTACTGTTTACGATAACATTCCAATGACATGAGTTACTTGTAAGATACGTTATTCTACTGTTTACGATAACACTGCAATGACTTGAGTTACTTGTATTACACGTTATTCTACTGTTTACGATAACATTCCAAAGACATGAGTTACTTGTATTACACGTTATTCTACTGTTTACGATAACATTTCAATGACATGAGTTACTTGTATTACACGTTATTCTACTGTTTACGATAACACTGCAATGACTTGAGTTACTTGTATTACACGTTATTCTACTGTTTACGATAACATTCCAAAGACATGAGTTACTTGTATTACACGTTATTCTACTGTTTACGATAACATTTCAATGACATGAGTTACTTGTATTACACGTTATTCTACTGTTTACGATAACACTGCAATGACTTGAGTTACTTGTATTACACGTTATTCTACTGTTTACGATAACATTCCAAAGACATGAGTTACTTGTATTACACGTTGTTCTACTGTTTACGATAACACTCCAATGACATGAGTTACTTGTATTACACGTTATTCTACTGTTTACGGTAGCACTCCAATGACATGAGTTACTTGTATTACACGTTATTCTACTGTTTACGATAGCACTCCTATGACATGAGTTACTTGTAAGATACGTTATTCTACTGTTTACGATACCATTCCAATGACATGAGTTACTTGTAAGATACGTTATTCTACTGTTTAAGATAGCATTCCAATGACATGAGTTACTTGTATTACACGTTGTTCTACTGTTTACGATAACACTGCAATGACATGAGTTACTTGTATTACACGTTATTCTACTGTTTACGGTAGCACTCCAATGACATGAGTTACTTGTATTACACGTTATTCTACTGTTTACGATAGCACTCCTATGACATGAGTTACTTGTAAGATACGTTATTCTACTGTTTACGATACCATTCCAATGACAT